AAATGATAGAAGAGAGAAGTAAATAAGAATGTATTGGTGAGTTGTCCGGCATAACGCGCTCGCTCTCGTCAAATGCCGTTAATCGTTTTTGCTTGATGTTTTTGTTTCTCAGTTTCACTTATTTAATATAATTAATTGAATTTGTTTTTTATTTTATATAATAGGTACTGGGGAAAAATCAATTTAATAATGAGTAAACGAAGAGTAACAAGTACAAAAAAAAAAAAAAAATAATAATAATTATTATTACAGAAAAAGTATACATTCAACAATTATTTTTTGTTATTTTTTATTATGGCCATTGTTAAAAATTTTATTTGAATTGTTATTACAATTCATTAAGAAACGAAAAAAAAATTTTTTTAACTTGTTCATTTGTACACATTTTTAAATTACAAATTATCTTTGAATATTTATAAAGAATTTAAAAATAATATTTAAATTTTTTATTACGTATCGATATTGTCAAAAACTAAAATACAACTTAATTGAAGTGCTTTAAAAGAAATAATGACAATAAATTGTAATGCCAATAATTTTGGAATTTTTTTTTTTTTTAAATGAAAAATATTGTAATAATGTTTTAAGGCAATAATTGAATAATTTAATGTAAACAAATAATAGCTTGAACTACTGAAGTTCTATAAAAATGTTTAAATTATGACATACATTTTCGAGATACATTTTATTTTTAATTTTCCTAGAGCAGAACAAATATGAAAAAAGAATAACACAAAAAGCAATTATTTTTGTATTTCTTTATTGCCAGGTATAAACATATTTATAAAAACAAAAACTGAAAATGCTTCCCAACTACTATAACATGTATCGTTGATTTAGGCTCTGACTGTACTACTTATCACAAGATTATGATTTTAATTTAGTAAAGAATCCATCAGATAAGTTTAGTTTTAAGTACTTAATATAGGGATGTTGTTCTATTTTTGGAAGTTCAGATTGAATCCTATTAATACCATTTAATCCGTAACATATCCGGTAGTCATAGCCAACTCATAGAGGACACCAAACATCTTACGAAGAACTTTTATCTCGAAAATTTCTAGTGCTGGTTTATCATTCTGTGATGATACATACTGTCCATACTTTTTGCGCCTTACAAAAGTACAAGTAGCGCTATATAGAAGTAAAAGAAGATTGAACGACCTATAGAACATAAGTCTGTCGAACAAGAGCTTCACATCACAATTGCCAACTCAGCTCATAGTAGCACTTATTAGCAATGGTGATTCCCAGAATGATATCGTTATTATTTGTTACGCCGGCGCCAATGTATTTGAAATCTTTGCCAATAAGTTTATTATCGCAGATATCTTTTTAATAGCTCTAAAATAAGCTGTAACATCACAGTTGGTGAGATTAGTGTCGTTGGGTGTAAGCAAGAGCCTCAACACATTTGTAAAATGTTGTCATTACGATGAAAACCTGCCCTATGTATGCGGAAATTAAAAAGGTCACATGATGATAAGGCATCATTTTGTATGAAGCCGACGAGATTTGACGCCATCTTGACGGAGCTACGGGAACTGCTCAACGTCTTCCGGCAGTCTTATTAACTTTGCTGGGATACCGAGCTTAGACAATTCGGCGTAAACGCGTTCCCTTCTTTAAGTGCTATCCAAAGCTGCTGCTGCTGCTGCTTTTTAGTCGACAAAAAAAAAAGATGGTGGGTTTTAATGAAGTGTTCGTGGGTTTTATCCAGGATTTGACACAGTGTAAATTGAAATCCCAATCAGTGAAATTCATTAAACGTTCAATTGAACGTTAAAAATGTTCTCATTACTATATGGACTTACTTTCTTGTCAGGTTCATACAAACAGTTATATTGCAAATCAATGGGTTATTCAATGGAGTTTACTATCATCACAAGGTAAAATGAACATAGAAAGAAAACAATAAATGTATGTAAAAATTTTAATTTAAAATACATATTTATGTTGTGTTTTATATCACATATCAAAATTCGTAAGGTGAACGCAGATTTTATTGGCTATGTGTACATTAACCATGCTTGGATGTTATACTTGTATAAGTCTCGTGTAGTTCTAGTAATGTTTAATAAATAACTATGTATTCGATTTTAAGCATTTTATATAATAAAATTTATTAATTAATTGCGTAAAACTAAAATTTTTAAAGCAAAATAAAAAAAAAAACAACCTGTACCTCCTTTTTACAATACAGAAATTCAGAGCTTTTGAATTCTGATTACATTTCAGATTATAGATTCAACAAGCCTTCTGAGGTATGTCCCCACATTGATCAGTGATGATTGTTGATCCTTTGTTGCTATTTGTACGCGGATTTTATATTGCGATAAGGTTTTTTTCCATTATTTGGGCTGTTAAAAAACTGTGTTAATCTGATAACGAGATCTCAATGTATATGGCAGTTACTTTTTTTGTTGTGATATTCGAGATGATATTGGTATTATTTTCATTGCAGTACGATTTTAGAAAATAACTGCAACCGAGTTTACTGATTTAGCGCAAAAAGTAAATAAATAGTAGTCTATGTCTTTTATATTATAGATAAAGATTTTAAGTCTCCAAATAATGTGACAACGAAGCAAAGCAATCAGCTGGTATCCAGATCGTTGCATTAAATGCTCAGTTTGACAGAAGTTTAAATTTTTATCTCTAATTTCTATGACAAATACATTGTTCTTCCCTTCATAGCTACGAAATTCACATTTCATAACAAACTCCAGAGGTGAGGTAGAAATTAAAATTTCTATCACAAATACATTGTTTTCTCTTCACGACTACGAAATTGCATCACTAGCACTACTTAGTTTATGATAGTGTTTGTTTCAGTTCTCTCATATTTCGTCTTAGCTTCCCACTGTTTAAGACTGGACCTGGAATCCGGTACAGGGCGAGCTAAACCTCGGCCTAAAAGATTCATTACAATTACTTTGCCGCCGCAAAAGTACTATTTATTGATAATACAATCAACGCTTCAAATAATTTTGTTTAGTTTTTGGCAAACCATCAAGAAAGAGAATTAAAATATTCAAGAATGGTTTAAAGGAATATTTAAAGAATTTTGGTTTCTTTAAGTTTAGTCCCTTCTATTTATGTTGCAATTATGAATTCTGTCATACAATATTTTATTATTCTGAACAAAAGCCACAAAATGATACCCCACACGTTATTGTTCAGTTCCACCTGGATATTCATTTTACCATGACTATTTAAACAAGAATTTGAAAGAATCCCGACAACTGAGATTCCAATACCGAAAGCTATTTTACGTAACTTTTCCAACTATGCTATATTTCGACTTAGCTTAACGGATATATATACTAGATGCCGGGGGTATAATTTATTTTTGTTAGTTCAATAAATGTAAAAGTTTACAACTTTAAACATCGATATCTTAAACTATATCAAGGCATTTTATCGTATTGACAAAATTTACTCAAATAGCTGACTGTTTAATCCATTGTCTAGTCTAATCGGTATGCCCGAGAATCTTGTCAAGAAAAGTATCTCTAATGATGATGAATTGTTTCATTATTTTCTACACACCAAACGTAATCAGTATTCAGAGCTATTTTTTAATTTAGCAATAAAATTCAACAACTTGTAAACAACAACTGTTCTACAAAAAATAAAAAAAATTAACAGATCGAAATAAAATTATAAATATGCTTATAGAAAGATTGTTACTTATGGTTTTACAGTTTCATACTATCATTGTAAGTCGTTCAAAAAACAAACGACATATAGTTTTTAATAATAAATTAAAGATTTTACTTTTCAACGAGCTTAATGTGAAGAATATTATATACAAATGACATATATGAATTTAAAAAAGTAAATACTGATAAAAAGTAATTTATATTGTATACAATAGAATAAGGTTGAGATATAATAAAAAGCATGATTAGAAAGCCTTTTGTGTAAAATTATTGCAATTACACTTATTTTATTAGTTAAGTACATTAACACATTGTGTTAATTATTCCCTTTTTTATAAATTTTTTTCAATACAATCAACAGAAACTTAATAACTAGATAATAAATTATGTTTCTATTAATTTTTTTTTTTCATTTAATTTCATTTCATTTCGCCAACAAATTGAAGCATTTTTACTTTTTCGATTGCTGTGAGTGATATTCATGAACGAATTGATAATTCATGGGCTTAAAGTAAATAGGTGGCTAACTATCACACTCTTTAAATTTAACAGAAAAGTCGAAAAACTAGACATATAGGGTATAAGGTTTTCGAATAGCAAAGAAATTTAGGTTTTTAATTTAATTAATTTATTGAAATTTGGCTGACCATACAATACTGCTTCGACTATCGCCAAGTACTCATCATCAGTGGTCTTAGGAAATATTCCAATTTCTAAATTAGATTATAGTCCGTATATGATTTGTTTGAATTGTAAGTGTCAGGATAGAGCACTGAAAGTTTGTGCAGCCTTTGCTACTTGCGGATAAACACGATTAGTCATCGCTTCTAATTTGAAGAGTTCTAAGTCTTTCTTTGCTAATCGAAAACCCTCTAAATTATAAAAAAAATAGTTTCTTTGTCATTATAAGAAAGCGTAGCTTTTTCGGCAACACTAATAAAAACTTTAAATGAAAAAAAATTGAAATAACGAAAGGCTTCATTTAGTAGTGCCATCTGTATGACAAAGACGTAATCCATAAATTAAGTTGAGGAGTTTATATATACTGATGGTTTCAAACGAGATTACGAGATTAAACGAGATTAGAATATTTTAAGTAAGAATTTGAAGTATGAAACTGTGTCGCGATGATAACGGTCAATTCAGTTAACCCAGCCAGTTTTAATAATTGGCTATTGATAACGTCCGTCAAGAAACAATAACCCCACTTATTTGTCTTGATTATTAACACGATTTATGAAACTCAACTTGTGCTCTTTTTCCCAATTTAATTTAAGATATTGGTATTTAATTTTATAAATGAAATTCAAAATTCAAGCTTATAATAAAAATATATAGATAAAAAATATATACATTTAGAAAGTATAGTTTGATTTTTATATAAAATATAAAATACGATTTACTAAGAAGTTTCTATTCAGTCATCATATTATATAGCAGAATAATTAAAAAATCATAGCACAATGATTAATATATCATATCAGAATAGTTAAAATATCATAGCACTGTTTCTTTACAATAATTTCTTTAAATTTCATTCAAAGAATTCAATCACTTATATTTTTAATAAGGAAAGAAAAATAAAAATAAAAAATTACCTGGCATGTCCCATCTTCATATTTATATTCGCCATTCATTGTTTTATAATAAAGGGTTTTTCGAAAAGTAATTTCGTTTTTATTTCATGAAAATTAAGACGATTTTCTAATAGTGAATAAATATTTTATTTAATTATATATTGTTTATTCGGTCCAATAACGTTTGCCCTCTTTTCTGGCAGTAGCATTATTACACGCTTATATGATTTATTTGTTCTTTGCTGGCAAAAAAACCCGACTCAAGTGGTTTTTGAGTTCTTCATTTAAAGCAAAGCTGTTTTTCTCCTTCTAAGAAATAGTGATATTCTTGTAATTTTGATTAGAATAAATTATCAGAAAGTGCCAGTTCGGAAGAATATTATAAATGGGGCAATATATACCATCCAAGCTGTAAAATTTTTTAGGAAGTTATCACACTTGTAAGCGTCCTTGCATTATCTTCATGATTATAGCTATGCAGTCGTCTTTGTTATAGTGCAAAAATAATATATACTTTAAAAATGCTGCTTTTTACTTTTTAAATATGAAAGGACACCAACCAAAAACTACTGCGTGGAATCTGTCGCATTTTTGCATATGCAAGCCTTACTATATCAGTAATTAAAATATATAGAGAGCGAGGCAATCGAACTACAACTTTTAAAATTTTATTGTGCTAAAGAATAACATGTTCGGATATAATTCAAATTTAATATTTTAGGCATTGAGACGACACAAACAAACATCACACGCTGGCCGAAAGTAGTTCTGTAGTATTTTATCTCATTCCTGACGAAGAGTTTTTGTTAGAAATGATCGATACTTGCGTGCCTTTTAGTGCTAACGTAATCCTTTAAAATATCCCGAAACACATCACATTTAAATCAAATTTTTCCAAACAGCTGATAAGTAAGTCATATGGTTTGACATATTTAGCAACCTTAAATTAGTAGCAGTTGAATTGCCAGCCTAAAAATGGTTATAAAAAAAAATACAATTAAAGCTTCTATCGGGAGGAAAAACGAAATTACTCTCCGAATAACCAAGTATATTTTGTTGTTGAACTCTTTTTCGCCAAATATAATCAAAACTTTATATTTTTACAAATAACCTAAAAAGAAAACGAATGATGAAATGATTAATAACAGTTGCTTAAATTATAAATTATATGCATTATACTAAAAGACTATAAATTTAATATAAATTTGTTGCACAATAAAATCGCATATAGGCCGGGACAAGTGCAATGTTATATTAAATCCAAACATTGACACTGACCCAACCTATGTGAAATTCTTATTTCAGTTGATAGCTAATACAGATTCTATCTAATTTAAGAATAAAATACACATTATTTATTATTAATTACTTTATCATAATATTAATTATATTATACTAAATATGTATATTACGAATGTATTGCACAATGTTAAGTAACTACGATTTTTGGTGTTTTTGAACAAAAATTTTTTTATTGAAAAACAAGTCTAATCAAGCCATATTATATTAGTCATTATTTATTGATGACCTGCTATTTGTCTGGTAGTTCTATTATTCCATCGGTGTATAATTGCTGTAGGTTATCGATAAAAAAAATTTTCCAAGTGGTATTCAGCGACTCTTCGGTCTCTTCATTTTTTACTATTAAGTATTATTAAGTGCAAAGACCGTAACAAATGGTTTCCAGACGTTCCCACCAAGGTGTCCGTCTTAGCATGCCATTTATTTAGTAACAAAATAGCAAGGATACATACCAATATAATAAATTTGTAATAATAAAGTTATAATTTGTTATATCGTACCCAACGTAGAAAAGAAACTTTTGGAAGAGTCATTTTAGTATAATCCATTTAATAATTTATCAAAGGTGAAGCATCGCTATACCAACAAGGAGTTTCCGCTACAATCGGAAGAATGATTAAGAGCAAGCAGCTCGTTATGTAAATGGGTTGACTGTGCAAACAATAACATTCTCAAAACAATAATGCAGGACAGCAGTAGAACCATGACATTATCAATTACAACCATTACAATATATTTGTTAATATTGTTCAATAATTTTATTTATTATAAAAACTCCATCTCGATATGAAAGTAATTAGAAGTAGTAGTAAACGCTTCTGTTTTTTATTACTTTTATTGCATTTGTATAAAATGCAGTCTTCAATTTATTAATTTCATTATTTTTCAAAACCCTAGTTTAACCGAAAAAATAAAATATTTATTCAAAATCCACACTACAATATACAAAAAATGTATATATAAAAACTTACATACATTATGACATATTGTCTTCTTTTTCTTTATAGCTGAAGCTCAAATTTCACCAATTCTTTTTTTTAAGAATATTTTTTACTCTACTCTTAATTTGATTACGTAAAACTTAAAAAAAAAAAAACATATTAAATTTCCGCCCTTTATTTTGTTTTATATATACAAGTAGAACCCAAATTTAACCGATATAATTTTTAGGTTTAATTTTACTATGGGATGATGAAAGAAACTAAAGCAAAAACGTATGTTCTCGTACATATGCGGGAGTACAGTTTTTTGTGCAGATCTCTATCATACCATTATCTTATTCAACTTGTTTTCAACAAGTGAACCATTCAAATTTAGATTTTAAATTTTACCTGTAGAATTCCTATCTATACCTTCCTGCATATAATAATTAAGCATGATTCGTGATAAAATACTGATCTGCTCTTGCTCAGTTGCGGTTATTATTCCTCCATTCACATCTTCCTCCTATGAGTGTTGAATTGGTAATCGTGTCTTTGAGAGCAAATCATGTGGAAAATTCTTTTATTTTCAGTTGAAATATTTTGTGTTGCTTGGGTATTATATATCAAATAAGTTTCTTTTTTCCTTTTTTTTTTTTATTTTACCAAGTGACCAGAAATTGCGAATTTTGTTATAATGGAACAGAATACTACTTACTATCTTAAAACGACATAAAAACATAAAATAACGCTTTTACGATGCTTATAGCATTTTATTTTAAAATAAAAAATTGAAAATATTTTTAATATGACATCGACATGAGATATCCTTTGTGGAACATATGGTTTTATGCTACTTGCAGTATTACAAACATTAATTATGTTACAAATATAGAGTGGAAACTGCTCCGCAACCTAACCTAACGTAACCTACACTTCCATCCCATGTATTTCATATCGATTGAACAGCACTCATTGGTACTACATAACTATTTGATTCAAAATGTTCCGTTCTTCAATAATAGAACGGCAGCTTACTTAAAATCGACAAATAAAATATAAAAATAAAATAATAAAACAAAAATAATATAAAACAAAAATAATATAAAACAAAAATAATATAAAACAAAAATAATATAAAACAGAATAATATAAAAATAAAACAAACGAAAAACAAAAATAATATAAAAATAAAATAAAATACAACAAAAATTAAATAATATTAATATAATATATTAAAACAAAATATTATTAAAATAACATTAACACAAATAATATTAAAATAAAATAAGATTTAAAAAATTTTATTTAATAAAAATAAAATAAAATAAAAACAAAAACAAAATAAAAATAA